TTCAAAGTAAACATCATTACATGAAAGGGTACGGTCTTTTTTTTCAATAGGTTGATCCGGCCGGCGGGCCGTAGTTTGCCCACGGCTGGGCTAGGTAGATTACAGCAAAGGTTCTCTAACACAAACTCAGGACACATAAAAACAATGTTAGTATATTACGGTTGGAGTCTAAGGTTAGTTTGCAATGCCTGTTTGACCCATATTTTTGCGACATACTTATTTTCAGTGAGAAAAAGAAAAATGTGAAATTTAAAATTAAAATTACATATGGAATTCTAGAATCCCCCTCCCCCAAGATTTTTAAATGATTGGTGGTATTCTGAGTAAAAATGTCTTATTTATCTTAACTAATGGTTTTGCTATAAGGTGTAGATTTTAGCACAGTATCTGAAAAGACTATCAACAGTTATAATAACTGGAGCTTATTCAATTATTACTATTGCCAGACTCTCACATGCAGACCTCACAATAGTCCTATGAGAATACATACTATTATTTTCCCTATTTTAAAGATGAGGGGACTGAGGCAGAGAGAGGTTAAGTCATTAACAAAACTTACAAGGCTAGTTAAAATTAGAGCCAGGATTAGAATCCAGGAAATCTGGCTCCAGAGTCTGTACTTTGAACTTCTCTGCTACCCTGCCTTTATCAGAGGCCTGCAATGATGTTATTTCAGAGTAATCGTAATTCAAATGGAATGTGAGTGATACTTGTCTCGTATTGGAAGTGTTCAGTCTGGAGCACAATTAGGCAGGGCTGTTGTAGAGGAAATAAGGATGTATATTAGTGGTCTCTGGATGCCAGCCCATGGACCCTCTGCCTCAGAATCACTCAGGAGCTAATTGAAAAACATAAGTTCCAAGGTCTGAACCCAGGGCTTCTTACTCTGGGTTGAAACCCAATAATCTATATTTTTAACAAGTTCTCTAGATGATTGTGATATTCAAACTGGCTTGGAAACTCTGGACTTGGTAATCTTTTATTTCCACCATCATCTTCTAAAACAAGATAGTAAATGAAGACTTTGGGTTGGTTCAAGGAACACCTTTAGGCATTATGCCTTTAAGTTTTTTCAAGATTGTTAGCATTGTCTTTGTGTGTCAGAGAATATAATAAGTGCTAGTAAATGCATGTCAGTTTGAATATTTATGATCCCTGTTACATAACATTCTTTAATTTACAAAGATTCATCACATACTTCATCAAATTTAAACTAATCTCCATCAGTAAATAGTTATTGAGCATGTACTAGTTATGAAGTATGGCAATAAAAAATATAGACTCTCTGCTTACAGTGTTCATAGTTGAGATGGGGTAGGCTGCCTAGCAGTATGGAACGGCATGTGCTAGAGCCAGGTGAGCAGTATAGTGGTGAAGGTTACTGGGGTCCAGGAAGAGCCATCCTGTATCCGGGTATACACTGGATCCATGTGGGAGGAAGAGCCAGGCTTTGAGAAGAGGCTCAGGGAGGCTGCATGAAGAAGGGACTCCACAGCAGTAACGGCCAGGACACCGCCTGCCCCACCCCTCTCCTGGAGGGACTGTTCATCATCCAGAAGCTCCTGCATCTCAAGAGCTAGGAGAGAGCCCATTTCTTCCACTCCCAGTGTCTTCTACCCTAGCTGCCTTGATTTGGGGAGTACATACCATCCCTGCAGATGATCTACCTTACTCTTGAGACTCAGTTCTGTGGCCTGTTCGTCTTGAACAAGTTATCTTCTTCACTCACTTCAGCCTCACACTCCAGTTCCCAAAGTCCACCTCCAACTTTGCTGTTGGCCCAGACTGCTCCCCTCTAGAATCAGGAATCCAACCCAGCGCTCATATTCCTGAACAGCGCCTAACCAGTGATCCATCTGCTTTTTCCCTGTCCCTGCCCCTTTACCTAGAACACTTCTCTTCCATTCTCAAATTCTGTTTATCCCTCAGGACCTGTTGCACATCTCACTTTCTGAGTGAGGCTTTCTGCAATGAGGTTAGTTTCCCGTGTTGCCTGCTCCTGTAGCACCCTATACTTTCCTTGGGTAGCATTTAGTATATTTTGTGTGTATTTAGTCCGTGTCTGTGTCCTCTAGCAGACTGAGCTCCATGAAGGCAGAGACCGTGTCTATAGTACAGTAGGTACTACTGAAATACATGAAGAATGTATACCTCTAGTCTAAATAGGCTCTAAACTCAGTGGTGGGTAGGGTGGGGAGGAAGGAAATGGCAACATAAGAAATGCGGTGGTATTAGAATAAAGTGGAGTTATGGGGGTTATTTGTTTTGTTTGTTTTTGTGTTTGTTTTCCCTAGGGTTATTTGTTTTGTTTGTTTTTGTGTTTGTTTTCCTTACAAAGAGAGCAGGCCTCTAGCTTAGAGCCTTCAGCAGATGGCAGTATCTCCGAAAGTTAATAACATTGCCTTGTTTTTATTGTGTTTATGTATACAGTTACTTTTATCCACAGATGTGATACAGACTTTTCTTCTAAAATAAATAATAACTTGGTACACGGATATAGCATAAAAATTGTGGCAGTAGAAGGAATGCATGAAATTTGGAAAATGCTGGCTTGGATGAAGCCACAGGAACACCTCATCAAAGTCATGAGGGACACCTGCACCCAAGTGCTGTGTTTTCTCTAGTGTCATTTTAGTTGGGTTTGGGGAGGAAATGAAAATAAGCACATGTGTTCCATCTGTTATAACAAAGTCTGAATTTTTTTGTTTTATTCTAAATAGTGTGTTCTTAAATTTGAAAGATACAGAAAATTATTTTCATTATTCAACCATTCTTTCAAGGGCTAATGAAAATTAAATGACATTTACAGTGTGTCATAATTCAGACTTTGAGGAATTTAATGGCAAAATACAATGATCCATTGCTTTTTATGTTATACTAGAGGCCCCATGCATGAAATTTGTGCAAAAGCAGGCTTTCCTTCCCCCGGCTGCCAGCACCAGCTTCTCTCTGGGAACGAGAGATCGGCTGTTCCCGCCTGCTTGCTGGCCCCGCCCCTGCCTTGGGTGGCCATCAGGCAATCGGAGCCTGCCAGCTGGAGAAAGGGACCAAGAGCTAGTCAGTGCGCCTAATAGTGACTAGTCCAGTGGTCATTCTGGTCGTTCGGCCATTAGGGTCAATTTGCATATTACCTTTTATTATATAGGATAGAGGCCTGGTGCACAGATGGGGGGCCAGGTAGCCTGCCCTGAAGGGAACCCTGGATTGGGGTGGGGGATCCCCATTGGAGGGCAGGGTCGGCTGGGGCAAGGGGCCGTGGGGTTTGCAGGCTGGCCACACCCCTGATTGGGGTGGGGATCTCGCTGGGGGGTGGGGCCGGCCTGGGCTAGGGGCTGTGGGCGGTTTGCAGGCTGGCCACACCCCCGACTTTGTCAGGAAGGACATCCAGAAGGACGACCGGAAGATGTCCAGTCTAATTAGCATATTGCCCTTTTATTAGTATAGATGATCAAGAAGCCATCATGAAAGTGTAAAGTGGGAGGAAATGTCATTTCCAAAACTAATTATTTGGGGCTTTTGTAAAAAATAAAGCTAGGGGTTTCATCTCATATTTTATAGAAGTAAGAGTTGAAATTTTTCTTTGGGAGTCAATGATTTAAAAGAGGAATCACATTACTAGGACAATGATCATAATCACACACACTCTTAGACTGGGATACCATTTTGCTTATTATTTGTGATATTATACTTTTCTTTCAAATTTGTTTGGTAAGCTTTCCCTATAGCTTACATTTGCATTGCTACCAACTAGTCATTTAAAATGTCAATTTCTCCCTTAGCTAATTTTACAGACTTTGAGCTAGAAATGTGGTATGCTTACAAACTGTTAAATGTGTACTATATTTTGTCGCTTGATATTGAAGAAACTATTAAAGGAAATTATTTTGTCTAACATTCTTGCCCAAGGGTGTTAATAGCCTCACAAGTCAGTATATGTATATTTATGTATATACAGTAGTACAATTTTCTTTCTAATATTAAAAGAACTATCTCAACTGTCTCTGAATTATTTATATATATCTATGTACTTGAACTACTCAAATTTTGAGCACCATGGTTATGATTATGATATACCAGTTGATTTACATTATTGATAGAACAATAGATGGTAATGGTACAATTTAGAAAGAAAGACTATTAAGCTAAATATTTTAGCTTTCAGTGGCTCCCTGTTGCATAGAATTTGTCAGAGTGAAATAGAACCATAGCATTTCACAACTAGGAGGGTCCTTAAAAATTGTCTTATTTTGTCCCTTATTTGCAGATAAGAAAACAAGCCCAGCTACTTACCAAGGTCGGACAGCTAGTTGGTAGCAAAACTAGGACCAGAATGTAGGTCTGCCATTTCCCAATTTGGTGCTCTTTCTACCATCCCTATGTGAGATTTTTAGGTGGTGTTCTCTCTATTGCATTCCCTGATGTTGGCACCAGTTATTCTAATCCATTTTTCATCTATTCATTTATGGAATATAGAGTTTCACCCCACTATGCATCTTTGTTGTTTAAACTTTATATCTGGTTTTCTTTTAGGTTGGTCTTCACTCACATGTTTAACCTTGAAGACTTCAAAATACATTTGGATCTACTACTTTTCTGGAAAACTCCAACACGAAGCAATAAATTACCCACTGTACTCTCGTTATAGTATAGAAACTTTTCAGTTCTCCAAATCTAAATAAGATTGTCTCCCATTTTCCCATGAAGCCACATTGTTGTTTATTCACTTTAGTAGTGAGTGTTACTGTGCCGGCTGCTTTTGTTTTGGAAGATGGAGGCTTCAACCAAATGGACCCACTGGGAGCAAATCATAGTTCTTTCAATGTGTCATTTCCCCCAAGCTTTGAACTTTCAGCAGGCTCCCACTCAGGTGATAATGTTATCATAGCCAAAGAGGGAGCTAGTGTTTCAATCGAGTGTCTTCTCACTGTCAACCACTATGAAGATATCCATTGGTACAACTCAAAAGGACAGCATCTGGATGACAGAGGCAGAGGTAACTATGCCAGGCTATATTTAATCAAGGTTACTCATTTCCTGTTACTTCTTTCTTCTTGGTTTTATAGCATATTCAACAAGAAATCTCAAAGGTAAGGTGAATAGTTAAAACTTTTGAAAGGCCTGGAATATTATACCTATCAGAAAAAATAAATTAATTATAATTACTTAACCAGAAGAAGAAAAAAATAAGGAATAGTTATAAATTTAAAAGGTGTTCATATAATGACTATGAGCTCATTTCTTGCCTCTTGGTGAGTTGATTCCTTTTTTTGTTGAAGGTCAGCTTCATCAGGGCTGCTGCATACAGTTGTGCAGGCTATGCACTGCACAGGTCCAGGGAGACCATTCTAGACTGTAGTGTGGTAGTACAGCTTGGTGGCCCTGTGTGAATATAGCAAGAAGGATTTTGACTGGACTTAAGTAAATTTGTCATAAATTTTTTTAAAAATTTGCTCAGAAATGAGTTACTAAAAATGTTAGAGGAAATCCAAGGTTGTTGGTTTTGAATGATGATACATATGTGCATAAAATTTTAAGTGCCTATGATAATTACAAGGGCATTGAGGAGGAGCTCTGTACACCCTTCTAGTTCATTTTTTTCCTATTCTATACACTTAATTTACTTGAAAACAGGAAAATTTCTCTTATAATTTTTGTATTTCCATCTTAAAAATCACACAAATAATGTGACCATGCTCTACCTTTTGACAGGTTTTTATTTGATTTTGCTGTCTGTAGACCTGTAAACACATCTTAATCAGAATACTGTTTACTGAACTAGTGTTCTGTTAGGAAGATGTTTTTGAGGACCACATGGGTTAAAGCACCTCAAAAAGAAATCACCATGAGAAATCATTGAGATAAAGGTTAAATCCAGGATCCTCAGAAGGTACACTTTTGGAAAAGCCCCCTTATCTTTCTTGCTAGAAAGATGGTCTAATCCCTTGGAGTATAAAGGATATTTGGTTATTCACATTAGAGTAGAAAACAGAAGTAGACAGTGATGTTTCCTTCCAAAGTATATGCTAAACATTTTAACCATTTACAAACTGAGTAACTGGCCACTAAGGAATTGAAGTGTTTGAATTATTAGGAAGAAGAGTGTATTTTTAACTAGCTTCTTAAGAATATAGGCCTGTTAATCAGAATCTCTAGGGTGGTGCCCAGAATGTGTATATTGAACATGATTCGGGGTTCCACATTTGTACTCACTGGCCTAGACTCACTTCTTTTGGTCTGTTGGATCCTGACCAAATGCATCTGAGATTTGCATTATTCAATTGATGTAATTAGTACTGACTGACGGCATAAACAAAGCTTAGGTTAAGTTGAAACCAGCCAATTGAAATGCAGTTTTCTTTTCCTATTTTGCCTTTACTTTAAAAACCATTAAACTAACATCTATCAGCTACATACTTTCCTCCTCTTTTTACATGAATGAAGTGATGGTTCTTAAATATAACTGTAGAATTTAGATAAATTTTGATGGTAAAAAACATGGGCACAATCCCAAGTGCTTATTAATTGATGTGCCTCTAAAATAATCCGGATAGAATCTCAGGGATTAAAGAGATCGTGAAGATTAGGATTCGGTTGAGGCTTAAGCAGTCATCCAGCCTCCTCTGGGACACCATCTGTAGTCATTGGGACTCACACCTACATTCCAGGTTAGCCCCTTGATCTCATCTTTGAATGACTCTCACAATTAAAGTACACAGAGTACGCTGAGAATTTACTGCAAATGTGAGAATTGTGCAGGCAGAGCCAAGTTATTAAAGGACATTGAATCAAGGTGGGTGGTCAGTGTGCTTTGCTTTTCTGTATATGTGTTTGCTAAATGAAGACACCTTCATATATGGAAGAGAAGTGACATATTTTAGGTGAAAAACAGAAGCTCAGGCATCTTAAAGGCAACTTTATTCTTTGCAAACTGCTCATTTACCCTGACTTATGAGACATATCTTTTGGCTTGTGCTTCAATTACTCTTGCCAGAAAGTCAAGATATAATTAACACATCTTTTCTAACAAAAACAAATTCACATGTGGAAGGCATGCCACATTAGCCAGTTAGTAATTGAACAAATTAATTAAATTGTCTCTTGTTATATAAGCTCATTATCGAAAATAAACAGTTAAATAAAAAGAAGAAAATCAAAATTATTCATAGCCCATCACCCAGAAATGACCATTGTTTTATATTTCTGAGGCATATTCGTATAGTGTATGAAAATGTATGGGTAGAAATTGTGATGTAGATATGCATACAGGCACACCTCATTTCATTGTACTTTGCTTTATTGTGCTTCACATATGTTGCTTTTCTTTTTCTTTTTTTTTTTTTTTTTTTTTTACAAATTAAAGGTAAGACCACCAGCAAAATAATTAGATTTTTTTTATTCCAATACTCGCTTTATTTAGGTAGTCTGGAACGGAACCTGCAATATCTTCAAGGTATACCTGCATACATAGAAACATTTTTTTAAGATTAATCATTAAGTATTATATAGACCTGTCTCCCTGAAAGGCTTATGACATTTAGCAGTGAAAAGATACCTATGATAATCTTTACTGTCTGGAAGGAAGACCTTGATTCCCTTTTAAGTTCTAGGCTATTTAAATTCTGACCCTGGATGTAACAGTCTGCCCTTTCTTATTGATTTGAACAAATAGCAGAACCTAATAGATGAGTTAAAATATTCTCATGAAGAAAATGAATATTGATAATCCAGTTGGCATATTTAGTGGTAATATTCTTTATGCTGTAATGTTTTTATTTCTGTTGGGTTATCAGGTGGAAAATGGTTGGTTTCTGATAACTTCCTGAATATCACCAACGTAGCCTTTGATGACCGTGGGCTCTATACATGTTTCGTCACGTCTCCAATTCGTGCCTCCTACTCTGTCACCCTGCGCGTTACCTTCACCTCGGGAGACATGAGTGTCTACTACATGATTGTTTGTCTGATTGCCTTTACGATCACTCTCATCTTGAATGTCACACGGCTCTGCATGATGAGCAGCCATCTGCGTAAGACCGAAAAGGCTATCAATGAATTCTTCAGAACCGAAGGGGCCGAGAAACTTCAGAAGGCCTTTGAGATTGCAAAACGCATCCCTATCATCACCTCGGCTAAAACTATGGAGCTCGCCAAAGTCACACAATTTAAGACCATGGAGTTTGCTCGTTACATAGAAGAACTGGCACGAAGCGTCCCTCTTCCACCCCTTATTCTAAACTGCAGGGCATTTGTTGAAGAGATGTTTGAGGCTGTGCGAATGGATGACCCTGATGACTTGGGAGAAAGAATTAAAGAGAGACCTGCCTTGAACGCTCAAGGTGCCATCTATGTCATTAACCCAGAGATGGGACGGAGTAATTCACCAGGAGGAGATTCAGATGATGGTTCTCTGAATGAACCAGGCCAGGAAATAGCAGTTCAGGTTTCTGTTCACCTTCAGTCAGAAACCAAAAGTATTGGTACAGATTCTCAAGACAGCAGTCATTTCAGCCCACCTGACGATATGGGATCTGCAGAGGCCAACTCTAACTACAAAGATGGGCCATATGAAAACCAGCTGTGAGCTCCCACTACCTACAAAAACTGCTCTCGGAATAGGGAACCTGTTTCATGCAGGACATAACATTTTACCAAGGGGATTTTACTGGGATTTTCCCCTTGTTCAAATTAAGCACATCAGAACATACAGTGTTGCCAAAATCTTTGTAAAAATGCAGCATTTTTCCTATCTGATATTTCTCAGTCATTTTCCTCAATCTTGAGTAGCTGATAGACATTCTAATTTAAAGGAGCCTGAGAGGTAAAAGTGATGGGGAAAGTACCACACTAAGAGTTCAATGGCTTTTCTTCTGGTCACAGTTCTTCCAGTGGTTAGGGCTGACATATATCTTGAGGCCTCAGTTTTCCTACCAATAAGATGAGGGATTTGCATTAAATAATGTGTTTCTAGCATTATCACTTTAATCCACTGAAATCTTTAGCACATCTCTAAATAAGCCTGTCTCTGGACTTTTAGTCCCTTTTTGTGGGAAGGACCAAGTTGAGACTTTATTCTGTAGTTTAGATTTCTACACCAGTGCCATAGTGCATAAAAGGTATGGGTGTTTTTTGGACATTTTGCCTTGTGGAGTATGCAATCGCATGTGCTAGGTTGAATCTTTTCAGTGTAGCTGAGGTCTGTATTGTTACACAGAAATCAGGGAGCTAACTGCTCCTTAGTAAACTCCTTTCCATGAGTAAATTGATCCTTTGCAGGGAATATATCACGTCTTTTTAACTTACTGAGGTGTCATGGAGCTGGCAGTGATTTCTCAAAAGTGAGCGATTTGTTTCTAAGGAATACCGTCTTCAGTGCTTTTGGAATAAGAAACAGTGTCAAATCATCTGTCTCTGGTAAATCATGGATTTTGACACTTCTGTTAAGAGAATTTCTCAGGCTTTCCCTTTTTAAAAGTACTGGACTCGACAAGAGGGTTCTGTGTTTGGGATCCCATTCCCAGGGGAAACCCAGAGCTGGATTCCTCTTCAAATCTCTGTCAACCTTCCTGGCCTCTGCGGTCTTAAATATGGTGCTAATGGTCGCATGCCTGCCTCCTTATCTTGTTTGTTTTGTTTATATTTTATTGTTGTTGAGGTTTTTATTTTTGTATACTTCAGATAAAGAATTGAGCTAGGGCTGTTTTTGTGGCCTCTCTGGGATGTACTAACCTGAAATGAGATTAGATAATGGTGTGTGATGTATGTTACTATATTAAATATATTAAATACATATGCATATATTGATAGATGTATATACACATACATACAAGTAATCAAGACATACAGAAGAATAAAAATTATGGGTGATGCCACCTGATTCAACTGTGTGTAATAAACACTTAAAACACTATTTCTTGTCTGGCTGAGATCTGATAGAATGGATTGTAAATACTCTTTAGAATAATTTACTTGCTATAGGAAGCTTCGTGTCACATAATTTTAAGAACTTGGCAGTGGAGCTCCATTTGGTCCTTCATGTTTCTTCATTTGGCTTCTGATTATTGAAGCATTATTGAACTAGTGGGTCCTGAGGGATATGTTCAGAGGAGGTTTTATCTGAATTTTAATTTAAGGTATCAAATGGAGAAAGGTAGGAAATCCCAAGTGTGACCAGATAGAATTCATGCCTCCCTTTGTCCGGGCTTATCGGAAATAATACCTCTGTTCTGGAGGGCACGAATGAATCCATGCGCAGTTGTATCAGATGGCTTTAGGGATGAATATGATAATACAGCCTCTTCTGTCTCTCTGTTTCCATGGAAACCTTTAGAGCCAAACAAAGGCTACCAGTCATTTAGCCAAAGCTTGCCTTGGCTCATCGACCTGTATTTCTTTAAGGAGATTGCTTCCATACATTTGGCTATGAGAATAGGGTCTCTGGAACATACCCTAGATTATAGAGCACTTTTCCCTTCCCAGAATGTTCCTCTTGAAAAATTAAAATTTTCAAAATCCCTTGTTTGAGATCTGTCCCCTGAACATTTCTCATATCTTCAGATAGTACCCCAATTCTGTCCCAAAGTAGCATCTCTGGGGGCATTTCTTAGAATGTAGCTTGTCACATTAAAGAGAATGAATTTACCCCTGATGTTCCCATAATGGACATGGTATTTGGAGCCCTAAGGTAGATATTTAATGACCGAGGCCATGGAAAAGAGGGCTTCGTAAAAATACAGAAAATATTGAAAAAAACTATACGTTTAGACAATACTATAAAATAATTAAGTTCAGCTATTCCAGTGTATCCTGGCTATTATTTTAGAAGCATAATGATGACTTAAGTTGGAGGCCAAAGTAACTAGTTTACTTTGAATATTCCAGGTGTCATTGATAAATTAAATTAGGTCAAAATTTAATCAGAATTGATATTTTTAAAGCTAGTTTTCAAGAGGAAGGAAATCACACTGATATTTTCTGTATCTAATGAAAAGACTCCATATATAATTAATAGTCTCATGTTATCTTGTAAAATCTTTAACCTTTTGAACTTAAACTATACTCTAAAAGTCTTTTGATAATAACTGGTGTAATTATCCCTTTGCCTCATTGGATTTTATAGACGGTGAAAATGCCTATACTCAATAAAATGTATTTGAAATATTTATCTCATTTATAAATTTTGTCTTATATATAGTGAACTTTATTGTCTTTATGAAATAGTGGCTTTGTGAAATAAATTCTCTAAAAATAGACATGTAAGCATTTTTATAGGTTTTTTTACCAGCTGAAACCAGACAGGCATCTTTTGAGCTGATAAGCTGTGTCTGTCATGATAGGTTAATTCTTAAGTCAGGCCCAGGGAGCAACTGTATTTCCTACCAACTACCTTGATATAAACATCTTGGGAGTTGCTGACCTGGAATGGTTGTGAGAAGGCCCCTGTCTTCTTGACTTCACTTAGCATGTATTTTAAAGTCAAAGCACACTGCTTTCCCTTCAGTCCTCCAACCTCCGGGAAGCCCTTGGTATAGTACTCTCCACGCCCTGCATATAGTCTCACCCTAGATCAGACTTTGTCTCCTGTGTCCCAGCGTGGCATGGGAGCACGGCATGCCCATTTTCCAGAGTCCAGCCAGCCTTGTCTCCACACACCAGCAGTTACAACACAAGTGTATTATATTTCCCAAATCACCAGTAAGAGAACACAATCTCTTCTCATCTACGTTGAAAATGCTCAGCCTTATGCATAAACTTGTCGATTCTCAACACAGTCCATAAAAGTAAATGAGTATTATTTGGTGTAGTAGAGGCCTGGTGCACAAATTTATGCATGGGTGGGGTCCCTCGGCCTGGCTGGTCACCACCCCCCACCCCCACCCCGAATGGGGCCAATCTCAGGGCCACCCGACCCAGGGGAGGGACTGCAGGAGGTTGGCCAGCTGGCTGAGGGGAGGGACCATGGGAGGTTGGCTGGCCACAGAAGGTTGGCTGTGGAAGCGCACACTAACCACCAGGGGGCAGTTTCTGTGTTGAGCATCTGCCCCCTGGTGGTCAGTGCACATAATAGCAACCTGTCAGTCAGTTGTAATGGTCACTTAGGCTTTTATATATATAGACTAGAGGCCCGGTGCACAAAAATTTGTGCACTTGGGGGGGGGGGGGGGGGGGCCCTCCCCAC